GTTCAAGGCCAGACTGAACCAGATAGTGAGACCCTGTTTCAACAAACAAAAATCTAAATGTAAAAAAATATAATCAAAGTAAAATTTTCATCAGAACTCATAAGCCAGAAGAATGTATCACTGAGTTTAAAGATAGAGCGCTAGAAATTAAAAGGTCTGAAAAAGAGAGAAAAAAGATTGCAGGCAGAAAATGAACTGGACTTTAGGAACGTGTGGGATACAAATGAAAGATCTAATGTGTCATTGGTCTTCTAGAAGGAAAGGAAAAAGAGATGTAGGAAAAACTGTGAAGATATCAATGGCTGAGATTTAAAAATAATAGCTATAAAATATACAATATTTCCCATATAGGTATAAGTTATAGATTCAGGAAAATCACTGAATATCAAACAGGAACTAAAGAAAACTATGCTCAGATATATCTCATAATCTGTTAAAAACAAAAGAAAAAGAAAAAACTCTTGAAAGGAGCCAAAAGAAAATGAAACCTATTGAGAGACAAAAATTTGAACTATCAAAGATCTTTCCTTAGAAACTGTGGAGGCCAGAAAAAGGAAAGAAAAAACTCTTAGCTCAACATGTTATATCCAGTGAAAATATCCTGAGTAACAAAAGCAAAATAAAGGTGTTTTTGAATGAAAGAAGACTTAGAAAAAGAAATGCCAAGGAAATTCTTCATGCTAAAAATAAATCTTACTAGAGTGAGACTTGAAGGGAGAGCAAACAATAAAAAACTTTAAAATAAAAATTAATTCCAATATATTGGCCTTATAAATTATTATAGAATGTATTCTATGAATTAAATTAGAATATTAAACAATAATTCAAGGAGAAAGAGGAAACAATGGAAAACATAATAAGATGATACATTTAACTAGTCCAATCAATAATTATATCAAATATAAATGGTCTAATCATACTTAATAAAAGGGAGCAAATGTCAGATGGCATTTCTTTTCCAAAGAGCTGGCTATATACCATAAACATAAAAACTTACTTTAAATTGTATTCCAGCAGAACATGTATTTGAGGACTACATGGAATATTCATAAAGGAAGACAGTATTCTGAGCTTTGAAACACCTGAACAAATTTAAAAGAATTTTAAAACCATACAAAGCATGTTCTCACATCGTAGTAATATTAAACTAGAAATCAAGCTTAACAAAAATAACTAGAAACTTCTAAACACTTGGAAATTAAGCAGCATATTTCTGAATCCCTGGGTCAGGAGGAAATTTCAAGGGAAATTAGAAAATATTTTTAACAGAAAATAAAAATATTGTAAAACAATATGATGTATGTAAATTGTGCAATGCTTCGAGTGAATTTGGTGAGTGAGTGTTTGAGACAGGATCTTGCTTTGTAGTTCAGGCTGGCCTTGAACTCACTATGTAACCCAGGCCAGCCTGGAACTTGCTGGGATCCTCCTGCCTCAGCCTCCTGAGTGCTGGGATTACAGGTGTGTGGTACCATGCCCAGCAAGGTTGACTTTTAACATTAAATCCTTTTCTGGTTAAAAAAAAAGAAAGATCTTTAGTCCATAATCTAGTAAGCTTTCACATTAGGAAGTTAGAAAATGAAAAGCAGTTAAATCTAAAACAAGAAACTAGGAAATAATTGAAAATAAAACAATGGAGAAAATCATTGAAACCAAATCTGGTTTGCTGAAAGGGTAAAACTGCTAAGTCCTCCTGCCAGACTGACCAAGAAAATTTACCAATATCACCAAAGACCATGTAGACATTAAATGGGTAATAAAGGAATGCTGTGTACAGTCTTCTCCCTAAGTGTGTGAACCAACTCCTTAAAAAACTACCAATAGCTCACGAAGAAATAGATAACATAAATAGCTCTGTATATTTTGAATAAATTGGGTTTAATGTTTAAAATTTTCAACAAAGAAAACTCGGGTTAAGGGTTTTCATTTGTTAAATTATACCATTTAAGGAAGAAATAATATCAGTTATGCACAGCCTCTTTCTCAAAATTAAGAGGGAACACTTTTCAGCCTTACATCATCATAAAAAGCAGACAAAGACATTACTGGGGATACAGAAAAATGCTGTAGACTAATATCATAAGTTTAGGGCTAACATTCTCAACAAAGGATTAGCAAACCAAGTCAAGCAGTATATGAAAAGCCTCATGCAACAGAACTAAGTAGAGTTTATTCTAGGAATGAAAGGCTGTTTGAACAATTGAAAATTACTCAAGCAATATAATTCACCATGTTAATATGTGAGAAAAATATGTGATCATTTAAATACACGGTAAATATTTGGCAAAAGTGTGCATCCATTTTTATAAAAATGTTCAGCAGAGTTGAAGAGAACATCACAAATTTAGCAGCTTAAAATATTTTACAAACCTTTAACATTATCTCATGGTTCATTAGATCAGAAGTCCTGTGGGTCAGCCAAAGTATACTGCTTATTGTCTCACTGAGTGAAATCAAGGTATCAACAGGGCTGCATTCCTCCTTGCAGGCTGTTAGGAAGAATCTGCTTCCAAATTCATTCACACCATCAGTTAAACTCAGCTATTGTAGGACTTGGGTCCCTGCTCCTTGGTGGCTGTCACCTAGGGGCCATTGTTCTTGGAGCCTGCTCATGTTCTCGTCAGACTTGCCATGTGACCTGCAGCAACTCAGGTCAGGGCCCTCTCACATGTTTAACCTCTTTGACGTCAGCTAAAAGAAGCTGTCTGCTTTGGACAGCTCATGTGATTAGATTGGGCCCACCTCGATCAAAATAATTTTCCTGTGTTAATTCTCCATGACCTTAACCATGTAACATGCTCACAACTTCCAGGGGTTGGAACATGGACAATTTTGTCAGGACATTCCACTTACCACTGTAAAAAATACCAATAGTTTTGATAACTAAATGCATTAATTATAAAAAATATTTAGGTATTTTGAAGTTATTAAAAAGATAACGTAGTCAGCGTAAGCACTCTACATCTTTGAGGTAAAGTATACTGATAATTATCTAACAACAGAAAACACAACTTTGCTGTAGAAAAGGATAATGAACTGAAATGTGTAATTCCTCTAATAAAAGTGTAATTGTATGACATAATTTGCATATCTGAGATTCTTGCCAGCTTTTGTTGCTGGAAATTAATTAAATACCCAATATTAAGTAGACTAAGAAGTCCACACATGAACCATGTCACTATTAGTTCCTATTCATCTTGTGGTTTATTACTGAGTAGCTGGGGACTAGAATTTCTTCATTTCTTAATTGAAATTTACCACTCTACAGTACATGGTTGCATTAACTGTCTCAAGAAAATGGAGACTCCTTAAGGTCACAGACTCTTACTTGTTTTTTTTTCATATCACCAGTATCTGGCACACTGTACATATTCTATAGGTGTTGGTCAAAAAACAACTGAGCTTATGAAAATCCCATAATAATTTGTTGAGGCCACTATATTTTGGTTGATCTCCAGCTGAGTACTTACAAAATGATCTGTGTATTTTAAGTCATCACCATCTGATTTGATAAATCACACCTTTTATTGCTATAAAATAAAGCAGTGTCTAGTTGCAGTCTGGCAGTGTAGCATAAAGAGCCCAGACTATAAATCAGGTGCCTTGAATCTTTCCCTAATATTAATAAGTTGTCTGATTCTCAAGCAAATAAAAGGGGAAAACCTTACTTGGACAAACTTGACTTTATAAATTTTCTCTTGGTACATCAAAAGCGTGGCTAAGAAATCGGCCAAACTGAATTTTCTTATTCAGGTTTCACTGTCAAACTGGAAAAAACATCATTTCATCCCCATAAGCAAAAATTTTAGAAGGAAATGCCAAATCTACAATACTTACCCATTTGAACCTAAGGATGTGTCAGTTAACCAAATTTTCATGCACCCCATCAATTTTACACAAAAATAAAATGGCTCTTTTTCTTTTTTAGTTGACATATACAGAGTTCACAAAAAAATGTATGCACACTTTAGGAAAAGAAAAAGTTGTATAAATATTTTAATACTAAATTTTGAGACATCGTGAGATTAATACAAGTTACTTTGTCCTCTTCAATTACAAGTGGTACTCCAATGGCCATTAGCTTCCAGGTATTTATTAGTACAGTGAGCTGCCACTTGGGCAATGTTGGCCATTGAGATCGCTACACATGCATTTTTAGTTTCTCTAAGGGCCGGCAGTGTGGTAGGTTTTCTGCAATATACGACATCCTCTAGGGTCCCCCGTATGAGGGTAATACCATCTGTTGAAAAACATCATACTATTTTGTCTTTTCCTGAAGGGTATATACTTTTTTTTTGCAGACTGTATTTTTTATTGCAAAGCATAGTAGTTCCACTAGCACTATCTTTTATTTTGAAGAGGGTATATTTATGGATTATTTTATATAGCAGAAAATAATGGTATTAGTCTGTGAAACCTAAAAACTTAATTTGAAAAGTGGTATGTTCCTGCCTCTCATTATTTTTGCCTTGTAAAAAATACATTACACCATTAAATTCTTCATTAAAACAGTTTGAAGATATTTCATACCTCTAGGGATTAAAACTGAAACCCAAGGAGCAGCTTTAAAGAACAGACACAAGGCTTGAACATTATGTATTGTCACACCTGATAGAGATTTTTAAGATCATATATTAGGAGCCATCTTATTTTGTGGGCAGAGAAACTGAGGCCTACAACAGTTATTTTACTTGCTCAAGCTTTTATTTCCAGTTCAAAGAAGTCAGTCTTTAAGTTCCATCTTGTATTCTCATTCATGGTTTATCTCCTGTCCTGGTTTATCTGATAGCATTTTTAATAAAGAAGAAAAAATATTATGTATATGATCAAACTATAGAAAAATTTCTACCATGCAAAAAGTACAGCATGACCAGAAAATAAATATTAAAAATTATAAT